GAGAGAGACATTGATGTGAGAGAGAAACATCAATCAGTTGCCTACCGTAAGTGCCCAGAGTAGGGATCCAACACAAAACCTAGGTATGTGTCCTGACCTGGAATCAAATCCACAATCTTTCTGGTGTGCAGGACGATGCTCAACCAACTGAGCCACCAGCCAGGGCGTGTTTATGTTTTTGATGCCTATGCCTAGCATACCCCCTGGCACATTGGAGACAATAGTGATTGGATTTTATTAACATCTAACCCTTCTGAAATAAGACACCCTTCTTTTTATAAAAGAACAAACCCTTCCCCTAAGGTGATCCTAAGAATTGATAGCTCCCTTCCTACCATCAGATGGAAAAGGAGGCTGACAGGTGAGGTTATTCAGCCACACACCCCCTCCGCCTGGCCCCCACTCCTCCCCACAGCCTTCATTTTCAGGTGAAGGCCTGTCACTTTGGGCTTCACACAGGCCTACAAAGAATGTCTAAGCAAAGGTCAAGAGGTAGTTTCTCGAAACTTCTATCATGAAACTACAAATAACTCTACTGGTGTAAAAGATTCTAGAAATAAGCCTGAGAGAAAAATGTTCGGTGACTTTCCGAAGAACTGGGGAGAAGATGCAATTGCTGGACCTTTGTTGCCATGTCGAGAAAGGAGTCAGGGGAAGGTGACAGGAGCCAGGTGTCCTCAGCTGGGAGAGGAAAGGTCATGTTGTGGGGCCATCTCTGTGGTTTTCAATACTAAAGAGAATTTAAGGGATTTGGGAAAGCAGAAAGGTTTATTAACAAAATTCAGGATGAAGAGAGATGTGGGACTAAATCTTCCACCAAATGGCTGCCTCAGAGGTTTGCTAGGTTTATATATTCACATGTTAAAGCACGAAAGAATGACCTATATCCATGGTAAAAAATATATATATATTAACATACTAGAGACCTGGTGCACGAATTCGTGCATGGGTGAGGTCCGGCAGGCCCGCCCCAATGGGGGCCAATCAGCGGGGCGACAGGGGGGAGGGGCCACAGGTGGTTGGCTGGCTGGACCTGCCCCCAATCGCCCCCACACTCCCCCCCCCAATCAGGGGTGGAGCTGACCAGGGGGTGGGGGAGAGGGGTCGTTTGGCTTTTAGATATAGATATTTTTTTTTATATAAAACTATGACTTTATTAAGAGAAAATGCAGGCTATGAGAGAATATAGATATAGAGATTTTGATTAGTACTTATATGTCTTTGTGTATATAAAATTATTAATCATATGTTGTTTGGTATTATATATCACACAGAGTCTGAAAGTTAAACCTTTCCTATCCCACACCTCCCACTAAAAATATAAAAGGATTTAAAATGGCAGGATTTTACCCTAGCCAGTTTGGCTCAGTGGATAGAACATTGGCCTGCTTACTGAAGGGTCCCAGGTTTGATTCTGGTCAAGGGCACATGTCAGGGTATCGGGCTCTATCCCCAGTAGGAGTTGTGCCAATGATTTTCTCCCGTCATTGATGTTTCTATCTCACCCGCTCCCTTCCTTTCTGAAATCAATAAATATATATAATACAATAAAATGCCAGGATTTTTTATCTTTTCAGTCTACATTACATTTTTCCAGCTAAGTGTAAATCACTCCGTACAGTTTCCATTTGTTAAAAAATGCATTCTCTGTAATCTAAACCAAGCACATCAAATTATCCTTGAGACATATGATGAAATCCTAAGATCACTAAATCTTCACCACAAATTCATATCAGTCTCAGAAACATACACACGGCTATAGTTTGAGCCGCAGAAACAGAAACCTAGAATTCGAATTCTGTATATGATTCAGCATAATGTCAAATCTCCTCAGACACAAAAACAAGGAATATGAGACAAGAGCCATCCAACAGGACTGCTCCTGTGAAACCATATAACTAGGAGTGCTGCCCTCCTTAGAGTGTTCAATCGTTTAATATGTGCACTTGGTTAAAGACTTGAGATCATGTGGAGAGTGTGATATTCCAATAAGAAAACACGTTAGGGAAAATTCAATGAGGCTTTTAATATTCATCATTTAATCTTCACACAAACCCTGCCAGGAAGGCTCTGTTAACCTCATTAGATAAAGAAGTTGATTCTGAGGAGCCAAGTAGCTCACTTATAAAAACACAGTACCCAGATCTCTTGAACACACGTCAGGGAGGGGCTTGTCAGACCACATGGTATATTCATTTTCACAATAGAGATCTGATCAATAAGAAAAGTAAAGGAATGACTGGAGTAGTTTTCAGGGATAAGTAACACACTTAGTGGGAGCTGGTTTATGTGTGTTAAAAGGTGGCAGGTGGCAAGGTTAAAAAAGTTAAAAACAGCCGGGCAAAAGAATCGATGCTCCACCAGCAATGTGGAGCAGTACTTGTATGTACCACTGGCCCCAGGACCCAAGTCCAGTCAGGTATGGAATATGCCTTGTCTGGCCACTCCAAATATGCACATTTGAGAGCCTGATGGCTTGAAACTATAATAAGCAGCCTCTATATTATGACCTTGCTAGATGGTCTCAAAAGTAATTTATATCCCATTTTATTTGGAAGAATCCTATCTAGTGTCAGAATTATTGTCATTTGGCTGACAAACGCTTCTTGAAAAATATTTTAAAGCCACATCAATTCACGAGAGCCTAAGAAAAGAAAAACTTTCATTTTTAGTGGAATGCCATTTTTATTGAGATCCTTTCAATAACTTAGTACTCTTAGCCACTGAATCCACTGTTATAAACGGTCTTGGCATAAAAACATACAGAAGCATTCGGAATCTAAATCCACTCTGTTTGAATTCAACCACAAATGGCTTGTCTATGATTTTTCTTTTTAATACTTTGCTTCCAAAAACATTTTTAAATTTGTTAAAGGCATGATGGCTGCATTGAAGAAGGGGGAAAAAATGTATCTGCTTATTGCCTTAAATCCTTTTGATTTAGAATGCATCCTGCTGGTAGAAAATTTGCGTCATGGTAGTCATAGGCAAATGTTCGTACTAAATTATAACTCACTGAGAAACTGTGCTTTCCTGGAGATACTTTCAGACCTTTAATGTTGTGCTAGTACCAGCTTCTGCTGTGCTCACGTTTATGAGTATACTCACATTTATTCTTAGCTGATTAGATTTGAAGCTGCCAACCAGTTCTTGTTATGAAAACATTACTTTAAGCCTGGTTTACGATAAAAGCCAGCATGTTCATCCTCCATTCTTAACTAATCGAAGAATTTTCCTGCTGTCAGATAATCCAATGATTATAGCACAGCCAACAAAGCAAGATGCCACTGTAGCCACTAATAACGTCAGAGGAAAGAGTGAGCCAAACATACTCCATTAGCAGAAGGCACTTCATTTGTTTTATAGTTGTTTCCTGTGAAATCTGCACGTCTAAATGGTGCAGTTCCAGGATCCTACCCGGAGCTCCCCTGGGTGTACCTCAGTGATCTCCAGCAGCCCACCTCATCTGTGTGTCTCAGAGTCACGTGAGTTGTGCACTGCACAACCCCAGGAGTGTCAGTCACATTGCAAAAGTCAGAGATGTGATTATTTATAACAACTAATAAATTGGTAAAGAACAGTAAAATGGGTGAGGTGTTTTGTTGTTGTTTTTTTTTCATAAAATCAGTATTATGACAGTTTTTCAACAGAAAAAATAATTTTGAAGAGAGGGCATAGTTTGCTAAATCACACTAAAACACTGGATTAGCCGTGATCTTGTCACAAACCAATTTAATTCAGATAAATCAGTTTAATTAATTATTTGATAATGACTATAACAAGAGACAGGGACTTCTTTTTCTTATTGGGATACACCTTACCATAGGGAGGGTAAAGAGTTAACCAAGGATTCACACATCTCCCAGAAAAGTGACTTAAATCACTTTTTTCCTACCTTTTTAAAAAGTTAGATTCGTTGTTATGAGTTTCGTCACTGCCCATTTACCAACCCAGGAAAGAGGGTCACAGAGATTTCATCTCCTCAGAGACAGCTTTATAATTAGGAAAATGTGTTCCAAAATATACCCAATAAATTATAACTTAAAAAAACTACAAAGCTTATTAACTCCCTCTGTATTCAGAGAAGAGAGAGAGGCAAAAGAGAAAGGAGGACAAGAAGAGAGAATGGAGGGGAAAATTAAAGCAAGGTAAGGGGAGGGGCAGGCAGGGAAGGAAAAGAGTTGCAAAGAAAGAATCAAATTAAACATGTAAGTGTATAGAGAGGAAGAAAGGAGAGACATATAGTACAAGAGATATAGTAAGAAAGAGAGAAGGGGAAAGTTCAAAGGAAAGATGCTGTAAGTTCTCAGGTGGGTGCCGGTTAAAGAGTAAACTGATTTGGTACTGTTTTCATTTTTCTAGGTTTATGGGAAAAAATTACTTTATTATGCTAACTGGGCATAAAACATTCATCAGAGCTCTTTATTCAATATTCCTACACTTTCCGATATTCTTTGTCAGCAATTCACCAGGGGTATAACTGTTGGGTGTTTGTTTTTTAACTACAGTAGTAAGGTGAACAAGGTGGCTCGGCTTAGTCAAAAAGATAAGAGAAACGACTTTCCCTAAGAGAACTGGTCGCTTGTGATGTTACATGAACAGCTGTGGACAGACAAAAGACAGAGAGGTTGACATTCTGATCCCATGGAGAAGTGTGTTCATAGGGAATCATTAAAACCCACTATGCTTAGCTATGGCAAAAGAATCCATTGATGTCATCCAGTTTAATCAATATTTAAACTTATATGGGTGAGCTATCACAGTACATCTTGGAAGGATACTTGAAAACATTGTTTTAATTAATGTGTGCATTCTTAGGGTTTCTGAAGGCTGTAGTTTGAATATGAAAAGAGTAACCATCATGGTTATTTCACAGATCATGAAGTTGGCCTCAATATCCACCTGTACTGGACACACACACACACACACACACACACACACACACACACACATACACACACACAGTATCTTCTGATGACAATTTATCTCATTTTCCACAGTGCTCCTATATACCTAAGTGTGGAAAAAATTTTGAAGAATCCATGTCCCTGGTGAGTGTTGTCATGGAAAACTTCAGGAAGTACCAACACTTCTCCTGCTATTCTGACCCGGAAGGAAACCAGAAGAGCGTCATCCTAACCAAACTCTACAGTTCCAATGTGCTGTTCCACTCACTCTTCTGGCCAACGTGTATGATGGCTGGGGGCGTGGTGATCGTTGCCATGGTGAAGCTCACACAGTACCTCTCCCTGCTCTGTGACAGGATCCAGCGGATCAATAGATAAAGGCAAAATGAACGAGATCGTTTTCTTTAAAGCTCAAATACTGTTTTCTTTCATTCTTCACCAAAGAACCTTAAGTTTGTAATGTGCAGTCTATTATGAGTTCCTTAATATATTCTTATACATAGAGCAATAATGCAAAAGCTGTTCTATATGCAAACATGACGTCTTTATTATTCAGGAGAAGAAATACTGTTTTGTGTTGGTTGGTTGTTTTCATAATCTTGTTTCGATGCTGGAACTAGTGCTTCCTTCTCTCATTCCACCAAAATAGGGCTCAGTTATTCATTTGCCAAGGTTTGTGGAGAAAGGCAAACAATATCAATGTGATAAGGTCTGTGTTGAAGACATTTCTGCAATATTTTTCATCATTCATTGTTTACTAGAGCTGCAGCCAAAAATACTGTTTTTCTTTTCTTATTCTGAACTGAGCCCCACAGCAAGTGAAGGGACCAGATTTCCTAACTAAAAGATGTTAACACATTTTTCCTGTGTTTCTACCATATCACTGTAAAGAAGGGGGGAGACCCAGCCAGCTATTTTCCTGTTATTACTTCCTATTCATAACTTCAGATTTTCAAACTGATTTCCAAAAAAGAAAGCTGTTTTCGTTCACCAATTCTATCACCATTTCCTGTGACTTAAATAAAAAATGAACAGAGCCCTTTTCCATGTAAGACCCTGCTACTGTGTGAGGGGATGACACTTACAGGAGTCTCGTTACCCGTGAACTGACTGAACGCGGAGTAGATGCTCTTTTCCAATCCAGGAAAGTCTATTGTACTAAGATATTTGTGTGAAAATCTTCCTTCCATTTCAATTGAACTGTTAGATGGGAAAATTAAGATCCTACTTGCTGGTCAAGACTAGTGGACTTATTTCAATGGGTAGATCTATTGTGGCAAATGAACAAGCTGGAATATTGCTCTTTGGGAATTTATGTTTAAGTTAATGAGTGTGTAGTTTCTCTCTTTCTAACATGTGTCCCCTATTGGGATTTTAAAGTTGTGTGCGCAGAATATTTGTCTCCTCTACATGTTTTATTTTTCTATTTACAATTGCCTTTTCTGTTGCTAGATTTTATACACAAAATAGACCTTTTTTCCTAACACACACACTTGAACTGAATAACAGATTTAAAGAAAGCCTTTGTTCACATTTCCATTCACTTATTGTGGTTGGGGTTGGAGGGAGGGATGAGGGATTGGTTTTAAACAAAAACATTCCATCTTTTATTTAACATCAATATCAAAAGAAGAAGACAAACATCTATCTTTCTCATCTATATTTAAATACCTTTTTGTAATGTAGTTTTCTAGGTGTTGCAAAATTTTACAAATCGTATCTGTGAAATGAATGGTGAAACTAATCTGATGAAGTGAAAGTATTCTGCAATATTGTAATTCATAGTTTGACTTTTCATAAGCAAATAAACCCCTAAGGTATAATCAGGACTTCAAACGTGTAATTAAAATTTAGGGGGAAAAATCCATCACATCAGCAAGATATCAATACATCTTGCATTCTAAGCTGAAAAGACATGGTAATCCAAAAACCTATGATTCACTATGTTCAAAGGTATTTAAAGAAATTATAAAGAAAGTTTCTTTTGTAACACCCAAGCACATACACAGGCACATATAAATATTTGAAAAATATGATGGAAAACTCAATTCCTACTTCACCTTAAAAACATAATTCTGGCCCAGCTGGCATGGCCAGTGGTTGAGCATCTACCTATGAACCAGGAGGGCATGGTTCAATTCCCAGTCAGGGCACATGCCCAGGTTACACGCTCAATCCCCAGTAGGAAGCATGGAGGAGGCAGCCAATCGATGATTCTCTCTCATCATTGATGCTTCTATCTCTCCCTCTCCCTTCCTCTCTGAAATCAATAAAAACATATTTTAAAAAAAACAATAATTCTGAAGACAAAAGAGAGATCTTTGTGACTATGGAGACATCTTTAATGTTCCTTGAGCATCTTTAATTGATCCTTTCAGTGATCAAGGTGTGAAAAATATGCAAGTGAACTTTTAGATGAGTTATTTTTATTTCCTCTGTATTTTAAATTAAAAATTCCCAGCTGTGATAAGAATGTAGAAATCTCAAAATAATGACACCAAAAAGAAGTTAACTAGTGCCTTCTTGAATTCCAATAACGTAACATCCCCTTCAGGTAATTTGAATGTATATGCCATTAAGTGCTCATTATTAAAGGAGGAAGAACTGGGACTAATAGCAATGTCTTAAATGCTTTGCAAGTGTTAAATAATTTCTTATTAATAACAACCTTTTTGGAGGAGCACTATTATCCCATCCTACACATAAGAATGTTGAGGCTCAGAGATGTTAAGCCTCAACTTCCCCAAGGTTACACAGATACTAAAATGGTGGAGAATTGAGAAAATATCCAGCCTTTAGGTTTTCCATTGTGGTAATCATTTCCATGGCTGTGGGGGCTTTTAGATAACACTGAAAGACTCTATGGGTGGAAAAGAAGGAGCACTGGAATGAAAGTCAAAAGATTTCATTCAAGATGTGGTGATTACGTGACCTTAGACTTCTAAATTAGTCTCTTGACTTCTTGACTGTCAAGTTAGAATGTCAGGCCAGCTGACCACTAAGTCCCCTTTAACACTAAATCCACATGATGCCCATGTGGATTTTCATCCTGCTCGACCTCTCAAGTGTGACTTGGCCTCTGAAAGGTAAGACTGTTCGACATTCTACATCCTGTTCTTATTCAACTCCATGAAAACCAGGCTAAGTTGTCTGCTAAGTAGCCAGATTACTTAGAAGCATAGATTTTGTTTCTAACGAAGTGTTGCTACAGTGGGTCCTGGGTTCATCTCCACTAAAGTACCATTCTCCATTGCAAGGCCAAGGAACTGGAAGGAAATGTCAATCTGTGGATTCCAGGAGTGATTTTTATGTGTAAATGTTTCATTTAGGTAGGGAGAGAAGTTGTTCTCTCAAATCAATTTGATCATTTAATTAGGGCTTCCAGGACTGTTCTTTAGCCAAGTTCTTCTAAAACAAAGTTCATTTTGAAGTGCCTGCAAGTTGTAATAAGACTTGTTACCAGCATAGTATGATTTCAGGCCATTGAGAAGGCTTGAAGGTCCTTTACACAGCCTCACTACCAATTAGCATAATTTGTAGTCCCAGGAATTTCTTTAAGTACAACTTCTCTACATGAAAATCAACATCTATCTCTCTCTCTCTCTCATTCTCTTTTTCTCTTTGCTCTGTTTTCTTCTTATTCTTAATCTTTATACAGCAGTAAGATAACCCCCAGCAACTACATGTTCATAATATTCTTTCTGCTATACTAACAAAAGGAAAAAAAAAACAGTATTCATATCTGTCCTCAAAAATGCCAATTCTCTTGTCCTCTACTGGGCCCACCCCTATAATGATGGAGGTGGGGGTCAAATCATTCCCTACAGGAAAATGAGTGTGTATGAAAGACTAGAGGAAGGGTGCTGGGCAAGCAAACAAAGACGTCCACTCCAGGCAAGTCAGACAAACTCATACCAAATTCTCCTGCCAACACAGATTTTGGTGGGAGGATAAAAAATGCCCCATGTATGGGGTTAAGAAAACTCATGTTACTGAGATGGCAAAGGAGCAGAAAGAACCAATGCTTGGAATTAACTTCACAGTTTTTCTAGGAATCCCCCAGTTATCTCATAAAATTTAAAAGGAAAAAATTTTCTGATTTGCACTCAGTGAGAGATGCAGGAATATTTGGTTTCAGCAAGAGACAATACGTTCCCTTAGCAGCATCTGATATCACAATGAGAGGACAGAGTTAATAGGAAACAGAAACTAGTTTAAAAGAAAGGACAGGAGTAATAATATATGGGGGGAAAGAGATTGGGAATTAGAAAATCTAACCAACTATTGCTATTTATCAAATCCTAAAGAATGTCTCTATATTTTTCTTAAGGGCCTGACTTATCCTTTGGGGTTGGTCAGTACCTATTTGGACTTGCACACATTCAATTGCCCCATTTGCCACTTATTTTGGAGTAAATTCATTTAAGCAGCATATGAAGAGATAAAGAGGCGGGTTCTCACTATCCCTTAGGTTTTTTTACACATTATAAAACTTAAGAAAATGATTCCTTCCTGAACAGGCAGTGAGAGATCTTGTCACAGAGATACCAACAGGAAACATCACTCGTCCACCATCTGCAACCTCAGCTACTGTCTACACCACCATGGTGACCACAACATCTAGACACCCGTATACTTCCCTCCATCTAGGTCTGTCCAAACTCGCCAGCCTCCACCAGTCAGAGAGTCATCAAAGCTCAGCCTTTTTGTGTGCTGCATTAAAAATCCAGCAGCTTGGGAGGCAGCTGCAAACCCTGACACTTAGCTCCTTCCTGTGGTGAGCAAACACAACAGGCCGACCCCATGCCATCCTTGCGCGTGACAGAAGTATCATTTTGGAACAATTAACAGTGGCTGTCTCTAACCAACAACATTCAGCTGCTGTCGCTAACATCTAGCCGTGCTGAGAAGAAAGCACTGAGTCCAGACTGGGGACTCATACTGTGGGAAAAACATATCCCTCCCTTTCCAACAGTGGTGCCAGAAACAGAATTCGGTGCCAATGCGACACTTACATCCCTCTCTAAAAGTCATCATCAGCTGGGAAATTTAGAAAAGAGCACGCTGTAAATACAGCTTGGGCATCTGTCGGCGGAAATCCCAGCAGCCAGGTCCAGCTCAGCCAGTTGAGGCCACTTGCAACAAACTGGTTTTGTGCTAATACAACAGAGAGGTTTTCCAACTCTGTTTCTTTGAAAATGTCACACTAGCTGGCTGAATACATAACCCTTTGAATACTAACAACCCTCAAGTTAGTCTGGCAAACACCCAAGACTTTTTAGAAGGTTCCACTTGGTGTGCTTGAGAGGCCTCATGTCCAAATCATCCAAGAGTGAACAACAACTGTCTCCTTGTAAGAATGAAGTATTTCAGCCACATAAACTTCCAGCATTTACCACTAAACCCAGTTCAAAAACCCCATGGAGAACTGGAGCAAAGGGCCCTTTGAAGACCCGGTAAAGCCAGCAGTTTACTTTACCTCTGATATCAATGTCGTCTGTGATCCCAGAACAGCAGCCACTGGGAAAACTACAAGTCATCTTTACATGGTTCCCCCCAATTTCACTTCTATTTTGTATA